TTTGTTTTTAAAGAATAAGGAAAACAAGCAGAGTAGAAAACAATTCTTTTTCAAGCCTGGGTAAGAATGATGAATTTATAGATTTTTAAGCCACATAAGACATTCCAAAAGAAGAAGATTAATTTACGTGTATTATTAATATTATATTCAAATGTAAATTTCAAAAAGGGACCACGTAACTGAGACGGAAATTGCAAGCTGAGAAAAGTATGTAACGCCTCTGACAGAAAAGGGTTATGTGTTAATAAATACCAAATTATAAAAAACTATTGAACAAAAAGGTGGTGAACTTGACTTAGAAAACCATCAGAAGGGCCGTTAACCTACTGGGACAGGAGAATTCACGCGGAGCAATGAACAGGCTCACGGAAACGTCCAACCTCAGCGTCACTCTAAGAAATATAAATTAAACCAATAATGAGACACCGTTTTACACCTCTTACTTATCAATATTCTAAAACAATGTTACTACTTGTGCTGGAAAGAATACGAAACTAGAAGAGTCACACAGTGTTGATGGCCGTGTAAACCACGACTACCTCCTGAGAGAACAATCTGGCAATTATGAGAATCCGCAGAGGCTGTCACACTCCGGCCTTGAGCCCACCTTTCAGAAAAGCATTCTGAGGAAAGAAAGCGTCTGTCATGGACCTAGCAGTGCGCCGCCAGATCGGGTCTCCAGCAGCACCAATATGCCAGGCCCGCCTCAAAATCTGCCCACATCCCCTGCGCTGACTGTCACCTGCGTGCCTTCCCAGGGCCCTGGCCTGCCTCTCCTCCTCATCGCTTGCCCAAAGTGAAATGGTTAAGTACATTCTGGTATATAAAACTAAAGAGCCCCAACAATTGGTCATGAGCCAGTCAAACCAGCCCCTTTGAAAATGCTGTTTGCTTTGTCCACCTGTCTGCATGCGAAGCTCCTATATACCTCTCAAGGTTCCACCTGGTTCCGTTTACTCTCTGGAGACTTTTCCAACTCCCCAGCCAGCACGAATACATCAAGGTAAGATTTCTGGCAACACAGTGGATCTCCACCCACTTCCGGTCTAACCACAGAGAAATACATCAAATGTATCCACAACTACTGGAACAAATATATTAGAATTATTTTAATCATATAGGTGACATTGAAACCAGGAAAGGGCAATGCACAGATGCTAGAAGCAAGGAGGGAACCAACTCTAAAGTGGTAAGAACGTGAGTTATTATAGAAACATCCCAGGGGAATCAGGCCTGCACAGATCAGTGTGTGCTCACAGCAGCCCTGGGGTTTAATGCAGGCTCTAAGGGACCGGGTTTTAATGTCCTTTAGGGGTTAGGAGACCTGGGATTGTACAAGACGGGGAGTAGACTTGGCACAGCTGAAGTAGGTTAGCGAACCAAAACAGATGATAGGAAAATCATCAGAATACAGCCCAGAGAGATAAAGATGTGGGAAATATAAGAGAGTCTGAGAGACATGGAAAATGGAATGAAAAAGCGCAACATATATCTAATAGGCATTCCAGAAGACCAGCGCGAATGGGGTGGAGGCAACACTCAAAGAAGAACAGCTCAGAATGTTCTAAAACTTATGAGAGACACTAATTCTCAGAGTGAGAGCCTGAGCCTGGGAAGCTTTAATAAACAGGCATCTATACTGAGACACATTGTAGGGAAACTGTAAAGGAACAGAAATAAAGAGAAATCTTGCAGGCAACCAGAAAAAGGGTGAAAAAAAGAGAACTCCAACGCCTTTTATAAAGTCTTGGCAATTAAACAGCAGCCTCTCAGCAGCAAGAATAGAGGCCAGAAGAACAAGACCAATAATCTCCAAGGTTCTTAAAAATCTAACTCTCAAACACGAATTCTAGTCCCTGCTAAATCTTCGTTAAAGAGTAAGATGGAAATATACATTTTTTAAGGCAAAGACTGAACTGGTCGTTCACAGGACCTCACTCAATGGATGACTAAAGGATGTACCGGGAAATCGAATTCAGAACAAAGAGTGAGACTTAGGAAGCAGGGGCTGAGCAAACGACCTGGTCCACACGGGAAACCTAAACAGGCACGGACCATATTTAAAAATAACGACTAATTCAGGTGCTGTCCAAACAGGGCAGGACCCAAACAACTAGGCGATGGTAACGTGTAAGGTGAAGGTGCTTGCTTCATTCAGGACAAGAGAAATGCGATTTACTTTAGGCTTTACGGGTTTAGAGCACGTGTTAAAAATGTAAGGATCACCTCTATAAGAACACAAATAAAATATTTAAGTCTTAAGACAGTGGAGGGAAAAAAGAACAAAAAGGGAAACTCGGACAGAACCAAACATGAGGGAGGAAGAAATAAAAGGAGCTGAGCGAACCATGGAGCGCACGCAATGAAGCGGCCAGGGGAAAACTCCAGACACGCGTCCCAATGCATGGAAATGGGCCACAACCTCACCGGCAAGAAGGCAAAGATGTTCACTGTGGGATTTTTAAAATATAGAAATATGCTATTTTACAAGAAACACACTTAAAACATGACAACCAACGAGTGAAAGCAAAAGGCTGGGAAAAGACATACCTGACAAATACTAATCAAAAGAACACTGTTACAGGTGTTTTAATATCAGATAAGACAGACCGTAAAAGTCAGAGGGATAAGAAAGGTAAGCATATAATGACAGAGGGAACAGGTGACCAGGAAGACATGACAGGTCTGTACTTCCAGGTATGTGTACCAGGGGCAAGCCTAATTCAGGATTGATAATATTAGCACTTGGACTTCACCTTGCTGTTGTCTCTTATGCCCTGTTCCACCAGGAATTCTGGGTGAACGGTCCCTGGTGGAACAGTCGTCACAGCAGCACAGTGCTGGCCGCCCTGGTTCCTCAGGTGCAAACTCTAAGCACCTGTCACAGTCTTCCCAGTAACCACCACTCTGGTAAGCCACTAGGGCTTGGGACAATTCGCCATTTATTTCTGCCTTCTGGGCTCCTCCCACGACGTCTGGCAGAGAAAAGCACTCAATATGCATCCATTAAACTTATAATTTGGAAGAGTATGAAGCCAATATGAAGTATGTCTGTAATATGCATTCCTATTTAAAAAGTGCAGTATAAAACTGTGGATGCACTTGAATTACAAATATGTAAAAATTATGTATGTGGAAATATAAAAGCGGAAGAGAATGGGGAAAAATGAACACAGTAAATTTGTTATGTGAGGTCGATGGTGGCTTTTTGGTTTTGATTTTTCTTATTGCTATTAAATGATTGTTCATATAATTTTGAAAATGAAATAAAAGGAAATGGCTATGTAACTTTTAGTTATCCGAGAAAGTAATTCTGGAAACATTTCACCTCATATAGGCGGGACAGTAAAGCTGTTTTCTGAGCCACGGAAATGTTTACTCCTGGGGCCAAATTAGGCCTTTCACTCTAGAAGTCACATGGCGGCCCAGTGACTGAACACACAGGGTGCTGAGAAGGAAAGTGGGTGACTGTGGGAAACAGAGCCACTGATCTAACTTAATACTATTCTTCCTCCTCCTTCTCTCATGCCTGCCCTTTTTAAGTAACCCCAAGTTGTCCACCAATTATCCAGAGTTTCAGAGGACAATTTTTTCATTAGCCTCAACCCTACGTCCCCGGAGAGGAGGTTCTCTGAGTTACCGGTATAGAAAACCAGGTAAATTAAACACAGTATTCCTTACCTGGAGTTTGGTCTGTATGTACCATTTCCAACTGAAAGTAAACAGGGATCATTGGGGGAGTGGTTTCTCCCAGGCCGGGACAAGACAAGCACCAGAGGGGCCCGGAGCACCGCGTCGTGCCGGGAAGCCGGAGAGCTATCAGGGACTATGCGGGTCACGTCAACAGACTCGGGGGCCAACACGAAAGGGCTCCCACTGGCCAGGATGCGACAGATAGAATATCAATGAGAATAACAACTGTAATGAATGGAAACACATCACATATGTGTCGATTCATGAGTTCATCCTAATACTTTTTAAGAAAAATCACTCATTGCTCATTTTTGGAGGATGCTAGGAAACCAATTCATTATTTTGAAAAGTACTAAGTGAAGGAAAAGACCCAAAGATATCCTGCCTTTCTTCTGCTAATGGTGTCTCATTGTTGCCAGATAGTTGGAGAGGGGAAGTTTGAATACAGAAATACTTCAACCAATAAAAGAAGAAATGACGGACGTGAGATTCGCCACTCTACAATCTCTAGTGGATATCGGTGTGATCCACATGACCACTATCATCATAAAAAGAGATACAACCAGTCCACACAAGCTTGCCACCACCTAGGAAGTATTTTTGCCCCCAGATTGCATGTGGGTCTGCATATCTATCAATGAGGGGCAGGGGGCTGGGAGAGGGAGACAGGAGGACATGTTCAATGTCATGGTTGGTTGCCATCAATCAGATTTATATTGTAAGAAGCCCCACATAACAAACAATCCAGGCTTCTACAAATGCATCATGGGGGGAAAGAATTAACAGATGGAGCGGGACCCTAGAGATTAAACAATTATGGCAAATCAATCAGTTGAAATGTACAAATTTCATTTGGATCCTGACTCAAATTAATTATAAACGAAAATATGAGACAATCAGTTAAATTTGAACCCTGACTGGATACTTATTGTTATTGATAATTCTACTAGGTGTGAAAATGGTTTTTCACCATGTTTTCAAGAAAGAGTTCTTGTCTTTTAGAGACACACAGTGAGATCTTTTCAATGAAATATGCTGTCTGGTATTTGTTTCAAAACTATCTGGGGTTGAGGACAAATGGGCAGGGATATAAATGAAATGCTTGGCCATGAGCTGAGGGTCGGAGCTGGGTAGTGGGTAGGTATATCAGTGGATTCATTCTCTGGTTCTCTTTGCTTTTGCATGCATTTGACATTTTCAATAGTAAAAAACTCCAACACATTAATAAAAAATAAATGAAGCTGTTCCTTATCCTTGTGGTTGGCGTTTGGGGGGAAAAAATTTCAAGGAAACAATGGGACTCTTACCTTTTCATTAACTGGATAAAAATTCTTCTTGGTAATCGGTATACAAAGGTATCGAGGACAACCTTCAGGTAATTCAAAGATATGCACCCACTTTTAGAAGGGTCCCCTGCACTCAGGGCTTTTTCAACCCTTTCATAGGACTTCGACAGCTGCAACGAATTAAAATTAGAGTGTTGCATTCACAGAAACCAACTTCATGGAGTCTTCAACCATTTTATTTTTACCGAAACCTCTTCACATTTCCCTCTCCAAAAACTGATCAAAAAGGTTACGATGGCATGTACTGAACTTCAAATGTTTAATTGATGAGCTCACTACAAAACAGCATCCCCAGTCACAGCTACTCAACTGACAAGGTAGACGAGTTGGTCGGGGAAAAACAACACCTCTAATAACAGCTCCACCTCAAATTTCAGAGCTAAAAATACTCGGTGGAGCTGCCAGCTTGATACATCTTTCTTAATATACTTTCAAGCCATCCTCCTCCTGTGAGCCCTCCCTACTGTTCTCCTGATTAAGTCAGGTCAATCAAACAAAAAAGCTGGCAACGTTTTATTAAAAATAGAAGTAGCTTTTATGGTAAGGGAAATTATTGATATAAGGATTGCATAAACAGTATGCATTGGACGTTTCTTTAATTATTCTTTTTTTCTTAATGGGGAATTCTTACAGAGAATCGAGGTGGATGAGCTTTGCTTACGGGACTTTGAAAATGCAGTAAAGTAGGTTAACCACTGATTTTTATATGATTCGTAAAAATCCTATGAAGATGGGTTTTATTTCCAAAGGTTTTCCTGCTGTTTATTATTGGGTAATAACAATATCCTCCAATATTTACAACCCTCTCCATTTTCCAACCCTGTCTGAATTCAGTTTTTCCTGCTAACTGGGATAAGAAGATAAACAAAATAGCCACCCACTTGCTATAAAAGGTAGCTTTTTAAAGAAAGCTGCTGGGACATGGAAATACATGTACAAGAATCTCTCTCCACAAAAGGACTAAGAAGCAGATTCATTAAAATTTCCTCAGAGTGTACAGGAATATTGGAAGTCTACAGGGAAAATCTGTGAAAATATTTAGAGAACCACAGAGCTTAAGCTTCTTAGAAAGTTGTGTAAAATTAACCCATAATGTGGCTAAATTTGCCCATCTCTCTTTCAGAAAGGAGGGGTGCCTGGGGAGACGTTCGTGGGGCAAAACCGGAGCCAGGCTTGGAGCAGAGCCTCAGTGTGTTTGCTGGATTAAAGAAATCCTCTTCTAAAATCCTAATGACATTTGGTGTCAATAAGGTTTGTTTCAGGAGAGGGTTTCTAAGAGTTTCCAGAAAAAGAGCAGGGAGTGAAACAGGAGTAGTTAGTTATCTTTGTGACAGTATAACCTTTTCGGAGTTTTCATTGTTACTGTTTATAATGAAACAAAAGATAAAAATGCAAGCAATTCAGCAAAGTGTAACAGAGGACATAATGATACCTGGGAATCTCAGCATCAAGTTTTTTATATCGTGTTCCCCATTCTCCCACCATAATTATACAAACAGATACGATAATTTTACAAAAATGGGATCATACCATACATTCGGATTTGACAAATGCTCTTTTTGTTTAACAATACGTTATGAATTTCTTCCCCATAGCAACTGGTGTATATTTACATCACACTTTTGCATGATGTATGGCATGCCATCATATTATCGATGGACAAGTGAGAGATACATTTATTTTCCACGTTTACACACTTAATTTTTATAAATGTTCCTCTGATCCCCAGTCTAAATGAGGTCTCCCTCGTTACTCTCTCTCATGACACCCCGTCCTTTTCTGTCAGAACACTCAAGGACAATTGTATTTATGAATGTGTTTGCTTCACATCTCTCCCCCTGATGGACGGTCACCTGCTGTACAGGAGAGCAGAGACTGTGTCTGTTTTGTTCACTGATAATTACCTAGAATCAAGCACAAGTCGGCAGGCTGTAGGCACTCATTAAATATTTGTGAAAAATGGATTTTTTTTACCAAAATGTTCTCAAGAAAGGCTGCAAAATGTAAAAAACTATTCGACACGTCAGTAAAAAGGGAAATGAAAATTAAAATCATAGCTGAGATGCCATTTCATCTGCCTCAGGCCGGGAACAATTTTGAATTCTAACAATACCAAGTGTTGGTGAGTACACAGCACAGAACAATAGGGTGCTCACGTGCCTCTGGCGGGAGCATAAACCAATATTCTGAAAACCAGGCTGGCACCGCCAACCAAAGCTGAGAAATTGGTCCCTACAACTTAGCAGGGTCGATCCACTCCAAGGTGTAATTTCTAGAGAAACTTTGCACATACACACCAGAAGGTATGTATACACTCAACCACTTAGAGGGGCATCATTTGGATTAACACCAAACACGAAGCAATTCAAACGTCCATCCATAGGAGAGCGTATAATTTGTGTATATTTAGATAATGGAAACCCGTACAGCAGTGAAAATGATAATGCAGCTATATCCCTAATATGGGTGAATCTCATCCTAAGTACAGGCAGGATGAAAATAAATGGTCTTGTAGCTATGCAAACATACTACAGAAAAGAAAGAAAGAGAAGCAAACATCAAGCAAAAGACAACGAACCCAGTCTGTAAGGAAACATTATACAAAAAAACATAAACACATCACCTGCAAAGGTTTTATACCATAAAAAGGAACTAAATAAAAATGTGAATTCATTAAAGGAAAATCTTGAAAACAAGATAATAAAAGAGATGAGAGGGATAGTTCCAAGCTAAAAAAATAAAAAATAAAAATAACATAATTATAGGAACTAATAAACAATTTAGAAACAGCAAGAATAAGAGACAAGGCTGAAATTAAAATTCGTAGTAAAGGAATGGCTTGGAAGAATCTCAGTGAAGGCAGAGGAGAAAGGCAAAATGATGAAAGCAATAGAGAGAAGAGAGCTATCAAGGGCAAAGAAGCTCCAGTGTAAGGCTAGCTGGGAGTACCACTGCAGAAAGGAAAGATGGAAGGGAGACGGAGGGGGAGGAGAGAAGGATGGAGGGAAGGAGAGAAGGATGGAGGGGAGGAGAGAAGGTTTTCGTGGTAGGACACAGGGAAAAATTTCCTGAAATGAAAGAAAAACTGAATCTGTACATCAAAACAATACACTGAGCTCCAGGAAACGTAGACAAAACGTTCCATGCTGAGACAGCTTGGTTTTGCTTTATAATTTCAAGGATCAAGAAAAAATACTTTAGGCATCGAGGTGGGGGCAGGGGGAAAAGAAGGTGACCTCAGGCTTCTTCTCAAGAGCACCCACTGCCAGAAGACAATGGAAAAATACAACATTTTGAGAAAAAGAAACAATGATGGAAGAATTATACCCAGTCAAGTTGTTGTTTAGTAAATAAGCAAAACGGAGATAGTCTCAAATATGAGAAAACAAAGGGGGAAAGCACTCATGAGCCTTTCTTAAGGGAATTACTTGACAATGAAATCAGCCAACCAAAGAACAAATCAAAATGAAGAACTCTGAAAGGGAATAAACTATGGTAAACACTGAAGTATAGTGATATGCATTAAATCCACACAAAAATAAAACGAAGGCAAAACAACTGGGGGAGTTACAGTAACCAGACAGAATGTAAACATTATAAATTCTGGCTAAGAACAAAATAGAAACAGCAAAAATTGTGAGGTGGGAGTGAGGGGTGGGCGGCAGCCCGGGAAGGGCCGATCACTTGGGGTGTCGCAGCGGAGAGCCAGCCCCCACTGTCTGTAACTGGGACATCCTTCAAAACCACTGTAAGTTATCCAACTCGTAACGGCTTTCTTAATCTCCTTTCTTGTCTCATGGTCCCTTTTGGGACCTAATGTCTCTTGGGGTAATGAAATATTTATCCCAAGTTCATGAATATCTTTAGCTTCACCTGAGGGCAGCTTGTGAGCAAGGGCTCTGGGGTCTGAACTTGGCTCCAGGACTTACTGGCAGGGTGACCTTGGGCGAGCCATGAAATCTCTTGGTGCCTCTGTTTCCTCCCCTGTAACTGGGATGATACAGTGTTGAACGTGTGGATTGGCTGTGAAGACTGAGCAGGAAAACACCTGTGAGCCACTTCTGACACTGCCCAGCATGGAGGCAGCCCCATGAACTGGTAGTTATGAGGGCGAGCATGCTATTTTCTTCACTTCCGGTAAATTTAAAGAAATTTAAATTAAATATGACTTATTTGTAAAAAATAAAATAAAATAAAATAAATAAAAGAGAGAGAGAGAGAGCATGATTCTCTTCTTACACGCTTACTTCTATCTATGTACCCACCCATCCACCCACCGATGGGGACATTCTTCTATATATATGAATAAAGACAGGCCTAGAATTATGTTCACCAAATGTTGCCTCTATTTCTGGATGGTGGATTTTGAATAATTTGTTACTTTTTTCTTTATACTTTTCAGAATTGCTCACATTTTTTTTGGTAATGGTCGTGTTTTGTGATGGTCATGCTTTTACGAAAACAATCAATTCATTAACAAGTGAGAACAAGTTTTACCAGCCGACCGAGAGTGTATTAAAAGCGCTCACTTCTCCGAAACCGTTATCAACATTGGCTTTTGTTAAGTTTTTCCTCACTGACAATTTTCTACTGAAAATTTTGAATTAATAATTTGTAAAAGCGCTACGTACGTTAGGAGCTGTTATTATTTATCTGTTGTTTATGTGGCACATATGAGTATTTTGCCAAGTTTATCATTTGTTTACACAAAGTTTCTCTGTACAAAAGCTTTTTCATTTTAATGTAGTCTATTTTATCAGTCTTTTCCTTTATAGTTTTGGGGCTTTACTTCATGCTAAAAATTTAAAAGTCTAAGTTTCAAGATTAAAAAATTTTCACCCACATTATTGATTTTTAAATTTACATAACTGGTGCACACAGAATTTATTTGGTGTGAAGAGTAGAAGGTTACAAGCTTCTTTCCCCAAAATGGCGGGCTAGTGATTATCCTGATAATAATTACGGAATATTCCACTCCCCATCCCACCACGCCTTATTGGAATGCCTCACATCAAATGCTCAATTCACACGTAAAGATCGGTCCAGTAGCCAACGATTGTTTCCAATCAATGTGAATGTCCATTGCTGCACCAGTGCCGTATTGTCTTAATAATTATACCTTTACAAAGTATTCTGCATGTGGTAGGATAAGCCCTCTACTATAACTTTTCAAAAGAAAGTGTATGTATCTCTCCATCCAGGTGTGGGCAGAGCAAGCATTAACACTGAATCTTCCAACCCGAGAACTAGAAAAGGCCCCTTTATGTATTCAAGTTTTCCTTTATTTTACTCAATAAAGTTGTATCATATCTTTATACAAGTCTTAAATATTTCTCATAAGACTGAGTGAATAGCACCAAGGAGGTACTTAGGAATCAATCTCTTATCACCGTTACTATTACCAATGTATTATTGCTATTTGGAGACCGAGGAAGTCTCAGGGTTTGGGGAGGTGGAAATAGGATCAGACTAATTTTAGAAACATCTAGACCTAATGGTTGTCCACAGCTGTCAGTTTTCTGTGTCCACACTTTTGATAACCCTGGCATTAGGAAAACATTCTTACCTCTTGGCGAAAGGTCCTCTCAATGTCATCTAAGGAGGAGTCTTTCCAGACATCATCAGATGAATCAGAATTGGGGAGGTGCTCCCTTTGGGAATTTTTGACTTGATTCTCCCATGAGACCTCTATTAAAACAAAAGAGCTTTAGTTTATTGATATTTTCAAAGGTACATTTAAATATTATGTTTCCTTTTCATCATAACCTATCTGGTAAAAATTGAGACTTTAATAAAACAAAACATGATGTGCTATCTAATAAATGGTATTAAAATAACTGGATGAACATTTTAGAAAAAAATAAAATTAGTCTACCTGCTATCTTATTCTAGAATAAATCTCAGAGTAAAATGTACACTAAAAAGAATAAAAAAACGACAAAAGTAGTAGAAGAAAATTAAGGTGAATATTACATAACACATATAATACATAATCTTTGTGTGAAAAGTCCTTTCTAAGAAACACAGTAGAGTCAGATTTAAACAATGACTAGGTCTGATAATATAAACATTTATTTTTGTTTAATAAAAAAACCCACACAAATAACAATGAAAGAAAAATGAGTGGGAAAAACCATTATAATATACATGAGAAATACAGGTTAATATCCATAATATATGAGTAGCTCTTATGAATCAATAAGATAAATATAAATACCCAACAGACCAATAGACTAAGATTATAAACAGGTAACTCATATAAAAAGGATTTTAAAAATCCAATAAACGTATGAAAAACTGCTCAAACTCACTGATAATTTTAAAAGTATAATTAAAACAAGTTAACATTTTTTTTCCACTCGTCAAATAGGCAAGGATTACAGGGAATGATAAAGAAAGCAAGCAGTTCATTCTAGCTTGTGTATAGAAAACCTGGTACTTGAATCCACTTAAATCTCCTCCTAGAATTTATACTAAAGGAATAATAGGACCACTCAACAAATACATTCGAGTAAGGATGTTTTCTGCATTGTTTATGAGAGGGAGAAATTTATACAATTTAAATGCTCATTCATAGACGATTGGTTTTACAAATTGTGGTTCATCAAGCTTATAAAATACTATACAGATATTAAAAACAAAAGTACCTGACTAAGTTAATGGACATGGAAATTTCCTTTGATATATATTATTTCATGATTGAAAGAAAGGACAACTGGCATCATTTAATTTTCATTTTAACACTTATTTTGTGTATTTGTCCATCCATCCGTCCATCCATCAGAAACAGTCTGGGAGGATAATCCACCAAAAAGAGTACAGTGGTAGGATTACAGGGAAGTGTTATTTTGTGTTTATGTATTTTCTGGCTTTTTCTTTGCAACAAGCACGTATTACTTTTATAATAAAAGAGAATAAAATAAATCTAAAATATAGCCATTTTCTTTCTCAACGTTGACTGCAAGAATCACAAATGGTTTTCCAGATTTATTTCCTAAATTACAAATAAGCTCCACTCAAATTAAGCACACTTAGAACTACTCAGCTGCAGTTAACAAACTGCCAGTTGTCTGGAACTCCATTTCCTATCTCAAAAACAAAGGAAAAGGAAAGGAAAAGGAAAAGCCTTCCCCAGTGGACCCGCTGGCTACACAATAAAATAAAAGCCAGTCCTTCAGAACTCAGTCTGGAATGCTGGGGACCCAGTGGACCGAGCATTTGAATCATGGGGACTTAGAACACAATCCCTTTGAGGACGAGGAAGCCGAGGCACAGCGCGGGGAGCTGACTTGGTCAGGCCCACAGGGACGGCCTCCTGCCGGGCTTTCGGACAGGGCGTCCTGTGCTCCCCGCACTTGGGGCTCTGGTGCGCTAATGGCCGTTCACAGGGACACACACAGCACATGTAAGGAAACCCACTGGTGCTCCGGAGACAACCCGCCAGGCCCTGCAGGGCGGAGGGCTGGCTGAAGGGTGAGCCTGCCCTCGGGAGTGGGCACAGCTTCCAGGAACTCGCGCAGCTCCAGCTGCCGCAGCACTCAGCGGCGCCACATCCGGTGGCTCCCCCACCATCAGAGCTGAATGACTCCTGCCACTTCCTGGTAGCCCCTAAATCTCCTCTGAAGGGTTCTTGCTGATGTGGAACAGGGTAGAGAGGGGGGCACTCAGGTAGGTCCTACGTGCAGCTAAAGGAAATCACCCCCAAGTGTCACTGCTTCACGTGCCAACTGGATGGCGCTTGTGATAAGCAAGGTGATGATGGCTTATTAAGAACACACACTTAGCAAAAACAGAAGTATGGTTTAAAATTAATAGAAAATATCGTTCTCCATGTAGAAAATGCATAGGGACTGGACTACAGCAAATATCTGAACTAGAGACCCCCTCTTAACAGAGGTGAAAAGAGCAGCAAAAATATAAATAGCTGTTGGTCATTAGTCCTCGTTTAACACTTTTCCCCCCCAAAATGAACATATATTAGCAAATTTTATCCTGATCATTAATAGATAACAGAAAAGCAGGAGTTCACATGAGAACTAGAAATGTATATAAAGAGGTAAGTGGAATCACACACCACTTGTAAACGTGAACTTTTGGGACAAATGTAAATAGATGACATGTACTTTAAAATGAAAGCTCTCTTAAGACTATCTGCCAAAAAGTCTAAGACCATCACACAGAAAACAAATACTATTAAAACACTAGCAAGTAAAAATTTCAATCTAGAAAAATTAGATGCAACGTAGAATTTACCTGCCCACGGGTGTCGAGGCTGGAGGGCCAAGGTAAGCATTTCGTAGTGGGAGCTCCTAAGTCCGTGAAAATTCAGAAACTTTGGAACAGTCCAAAGCTGAGGCGTGCCGACTCTGGAAACAGACTGCCTGGGCGTAATGAATGGCTCTGCACCCTTCAACTACTAACCATGCAACCCTGTGCTGGCTTTTTCCCACGTGCAAAAAGAGACAGAAAATAGTACCTGTGCCATCTATGGTCCCCTCGTTATGAGGATGAGATGGCGAGTGGGCACGCCTGGCCCGCAGTGGATACACGATGTATTCAAAATACACAGGGAAAGAAAATCTGCGCCCATGATTTTATATCGAGACAAACTGATTTCTGAGCTAGAAAGGCCACATACGAACTGCTGTGAACATGTAAGAAATCAGAGAATATTGTTTCCAGGAGTACTTTCCAAGGAATCTACTAGAGAACAGGCTTCAAATAACCAAAGCGACTGGAGAGGCAAATAAGAAAGACAGAAGCTAGTGAGCAGATGTGACGAAAGTGTTCACTCTTGAAGGGGGGAGCTTATGGAGGCTGGGTCAGCGAGACAGGAAGACCTATTTCTTGATGGCTTACGCAGGAAGAAAGTAGATGACAAATCAAAACCTAGAGACGACCTTTGAACTGCTCCACAGAATGCCAAGGTCTTCTTTGGTTGGTTTGTACCCAGGCAACTGTCTGGATTCCTTGGCTTTTCCCAAGCAAGTAAGTAAAGGGGGAATTCAAGATATCCGTCCCGTGGTCCAAATGAAATCGTTTCCATTTGTAACGATGGGTGGTGATGGATGTTAACTTAATGTGATAACCGTTTGGCAATATAAGCATATATCAAATCATTATGTTGTATACCCAAAATTAATACAATGTTTTCATTCAGTTTTATCTCAATAACATCAATAAACAAAGTTAAAGAAAAATGATTTCCATTACAATCCAACCCAGAAAGGATATGCTGCTACCATAAGATTCGCCCACTGGGGCTGAAGCTTTTGAACTGATAGGATGGCAGTGGGGTGATGAACAGCTGGTTTCAGGGATCCTCCCTTCCCCACCACACACTCATAAATAGGCCTTTGTTTCGACAGCCGTGGTGTAGAGAGAGTTTTAAGACGATGTGGCCCGTAACCCCAAACTACTATGTCTTTAATTTAGAACACCCACAAAAAGATTTTGCCTTCTAACTGAAGGATTTTTGAGAGCTTGAGCTGATGCTGCAGGAAAAGGAATATACAGAATAGCCAGATATAACGCTCATATTTAATCCAATCAAAGATGCCTTTCATTGTGGCATGTATCATTATTATATGTATCCCAATAAAGAAAGCCTGCAGCTAATTATTGATAAAATGGAAAAAAAGTGAGATTTCCATGGTGGATTGAAACTGTATTATAGAACTTAACTTCTTGCAATACTTAATAAGATATACGAAAGAAAAAGGTAGTAAAAATTAGAAAAGAAAAAATATTACCAGCACAAACTGAAGCGAAAAGAAACAGTGTGGGCAGCCAGGAAGCTTTGCTTCTAATTATGGTAGATTGGCTCATATTGAACAAACCCTTCAGCAGATAACAATTACAAACTTTGGCCAAAATATTAACAAGAATCTATCTGAAGGCACTGGAGAGCCACTGACATAAACTGGAGTCGATACTTGAAAACATGGAATAACATTCATTGTGTTTCCTGTTATTTGGCCTTTTGCCTGAGGATAAGTCACAGCTGGAACCATGCTAAATGGCTAGAATTTGGATATAAACCCAGGGTCTTGTTGGTGTTAGGAATCAGTAAACAGAGTTGATGACTACCACAGTATCACGAAAGGAAGGAAGGAGATGCCAAAAAGAAAGGCATAGAGGAGGATCTCCAAAGTCTGTGAATACACCCTGCCAAAACCTCTGGTTAACATCTGAACTACCGATGTGCAGAGCAGACAACAAGAAACTCAACTAAGGCTAAAACAGCAAAGATTCCAGGTGTTAACTCCCTCAGGGAAGACAAAGATTACAGTTTAAGTGCAGCCAAGTAAACTGCTAAAAGAAAAAATTCTTCATAGGAACATAACAGAACCCATAGCCTCTACAATGCAAAAAATACTATATCTAGGATAAATTCCAAAATTACTAGACATAGGGGGGGGAAAAAACAGAAAACTGTGACCATGTTCAAGAAAAAAAGGTATTTGATAAAGGCCCAACTCTGAGATGATCGAAATGTTGGAATTAGCAGATAAAAATTGCTAAAAATCAGTACTAAAATGAGAATGTAAAGGAAAATATACTTCTAATGAATGAACACATAGGAAATCTCAGCAGAACAACAGAAGTTGTAGCAACGTAGTCTGTGTTTATAGTGTAGGTAGAAGCACAATGTATGATGGCAATATGACAAAGACAGGACAGAAGAA